GGCCGACCGACGGCGCGCTGCCCGGCGGTTCCGAGCCCGCGGCCGCCGTCTGGTCCAAGTTCGGGCTGGTCGTGCAGAATCACGCGCCCGGCGAGCCCGCGCACACCACCGAGACCTCCGGCATCATAATGCGGGCCCCGGACCCGAACACCTCCCAAGCGCCACCGCTGTCCACGGCCGTCGCCCCGACGGCTCTGGGAAAGTCTTGGACGCAGATATCCGTCACGCAGCCGCCGTCCCGGCCCTCGAAGCTGGTGGTCACCGCTAGCACGCCGGTCGAGTTCAGCGGCGCGGTCGCGACCACCGCGAGTCCGGCCAGCAGCACGCAGGACTTGCGCAGGGACATACCGTCCAAATACCAGCCGTTGATCGGTACCTCTAAGCCGGTCATCACCATCACGTTTCCGCCGCCGACGCACCGTCATCCCACCCAACGGCCGGCCGTCAGCGTGGAGGAGGTAACGTCCAAAAGGGTCCGGCAGTACGATGACGACGATGACGATGACGACGACGATGACGACGATGACGACGATGACGACGATGTGTACGACGTCGACGATGACGATGACAATGAGAACGTGCATCAGGATAAAGGCGAGAGTGAAGAGATCGAAGAGATCATCGAAGTACAACAAATCGACAACGACAGTGAGTATATTATAGAGTAGCAATGATTTGGAATTACGCAGTCTAGTGCGAGTCTAAAAAAGGAAAACGGTTCACTCGGCGAACAAAAGTATTGTTTCGTATGGTTAAATCTAACGACTTGGTCCGCCAATGCACGTAATATACTGATGAACGTGGTTCATCATTCATCATTTTAAAATGGGACGAAAAAAAAGGCGGGATATTATTTGTAATTCTTCGCTTTCGCCTGATGAAACCTAAATGAAAGTGTTGGTATAGCTGAAAGAGCGAGACAGACTTGCGAAATGTCTATCAAATAGTGAGCTTTCTGTTCTTGAGATTTTTGTCCATTACACACGCTATCGATTTGCATGGTGAAAAGTTTTCGTAAGCCTATAGCATCATAAAGTGGTATCGCGTGGTCGTATTACCTTTCACGGATAAATGAGACGGATTCATCGCGTCACGGATGGTTCGTCGGCTCGTCCGTCCGACGCATTTCATCTGATGCGAATAAACGTTTGCCGGTGTTTACTTTCAATAACCCGCGATGATATCCGTATTACAATCGCAGCTATCGCTCGGTCGTTAAAATAATAATAATAATGAAACTACACTTACATGCCCATTATAAAGAGCCGGTCGACGTACGCAGTACGCGCGTCTTGGCAATGTATCGATTTGTGGTCCGGACCTTGGACACGGTATCGATTCGATAAACTATATATGGTGTGCTCGGTATAGACCGATATGCTATTATGATTTTCGCTAATCGAAATTTGTGTAGTGCAAATATTAAGCACCTACGAAGGCGGTGAAGACCCGAGGTGCCCCGCGGTTGATTGCTCTCGTCCGGTCTGAAAACCACGAGAATGTTTCGAAACGCTGACCACTGTCGGACGTGATGCTCGCGTATTTATCTATTACTTGGTGTGGACAAATCTAATTTTGAGTTTATCGGACGACCCTCTGTGATGACGAAAGGGTTGTTATGTCGATCTATTGCGAATCGGTTTTGTACGATTGGCGTTGAGAGAGTTTAAACGCGAAAACGTTATTACGTAGACGACTAATATACATAATATTGTATAGTAATAACTCATCCCTTACCTAACCCTTTCATGGGATTGTATAAATAGTTACCTAACAAATCGTCACATCTTTTTGTAAAATTATCGTTTATTTTTTCAATGTTTTTACAATTGAATTCGCAATTTTGTGTTTTGTAGATCGTCAGTGGTCTTATAAAAAAAACCTTGTAAAAAAACTACCACACGCATCATAATTGTTCTCACTTCATACCCTCACACGCCATACGATATCGCTGATATTACTCTGACCAGGTATAATTTCTATACGAAAACGACATCAGCGTGGTATCATGGTAGCACCACGTCAAATCGCAGTAGCATAATGTGCAGTGGTGCAGTCGAAAAAAATCAACGATTAATCGACGCGTAAGTTGGCGATGATTCGACTAGTATACATAAGTCTCGGCGATGATTCGACTCATAATAAGTCGGCTATTAATCCGACTTTCTAAAATCATCATGCATTAATACACGGCGAATTTTTATATAATAACTCGGTATCTTCATTGGGTACAGTAAAACTATAGACTATTTAAGATTAAAACCATTGCAGCCATGACGTTGCAGGTTCGCAGCGGTGAGCGTATAATGCTATTGTCAACTAGAAATATTTACACAACGGCCGTCTTTGCGCAGGTGTACCTGAGTTTATGTACATATCTCTACGCAGTGGCCGGAGCAAAGGCGGGAGCGATCTCGACTGTGTTATTCTTATCCGTTTTTCATTTGTTAATAGTATTATTTTCGAATAAATATAATATAAAAAAAAAAAAAAAAACGTTTAGCGATGGTCCGCACGTCATACTCGCGACGGACATCACATAGTCATACAATAGAGCACGTGTTGACAGTTTTGTGGTTCGTGCGTTGCAGGTTATGCGGACGAGAAGCCCGCGATCGTCAAAAAGAAGAAGCGCAGACGAAAAAAGAAGAAGGGCAAGAAGCACAAGCCGTTTAAAGTAAAGGACTTCAAAAAGCTTAAGAAGTTCATGCTGCCGCTGTTGTTAGCGTACAAGCTCAAGTTCTTCACGCTCGTGCCGTTAATGTTGGGCGGGCTAGTGCTGATCGTGGCCACGACCGGTTTTGCTGGTTTCTTCTTTGCGCTGTTCGCCGTCGGACTGGGTCTCAAGGGACACCGTTGATGGAAAAGCAAGCATTAAGTACGTATACTTAATATTTTACATAATACGTGTTATGAATTTTTGCCTTATTTAGTGTGTTATGAGGAGCCGAAAACATGTTATATTAAAGACATTAGGGCCCGATACGAACTATCGCATTCCTAATACATATTATTATGAGAAATAGAAAGGGTTAAACATTTTTGATTCACTGCGAATCCATAATTTGTTATTATACTATGACTATAGTGTGGGGATTGAAAAAAATTCAAAATTTCTACTCCGTTTCACTCAAAAATCTTTATATGACTGTTCTATACATTTTATACTTAACCAATGAGAATAAATTTAATGCAATAAAAAAAAAAAAAACCCGCTAAACACAAAAATTAAAAATAAATTAAATGTTCAACCCAGAAATATTTAAATTTAATTTAAAATTTTTATTGGGTATTTTGTGTTATTTTATTTTAATAATACTTTTATCAATAAAATAACACAACTGTCTAAAGGCATTTTAACTGTGCCAACATAACAAATATCATTATAATACTTATTTTGTAATTGGAATCAAAAATCTAGATTTCATAAAAAATATTTTAAATAACATACCTATCATTCAGTCACAATTGTACAATGTAAATATAGATATTAAATGAGTTCAATAAAACATTTACAAAATACATTTATATTTGAATAGAGTTGAAAATAATTTCTCTGCACTAAATATAAATACCTAACCTACATCAAATAAATTTCAACATGAACTTCTTATGTTATGTTTTGAATAATCATTTATGAATCATTATGAATACCTGTCAAACAAAAAAGTAATTATTTGAAAATAAAACCTTTTCATATTGTGTTAGTTCGTCATGTTTAATATTTTCACGCGATAAATTTGTTACACATTCTATAAACAGGAAAACATCCGTTCCGAACAACAATAGTTTTCCGTTGAAAAATATATAATGGTAAATGTATATGTATATCAGTATATATTATTTTTATAGTTCAATATTGTTGATATTTGACTTGATTTAATACTAATTCGAATCTTGAAAAATCAATGTATTTAAGTAATAATATAATTAATTATAACGTAATAAAACATGAATAAATCACGTTTAAACTCTAATGAAACAAATAGGTCAATAATATTAATAATGAACCAAAATAATATTCCATGTATTAAATACGTTTTTTAATAATTTCGATTATCAAAATAAAATCATATAACTAGATAATGTGCAAATACAAGGGAATGTAATGAATTTTAACAATATCCAACCTTAATTAGTAATATGATAAGAACACATAAAAAAATGCGCAAAATTCAATACGAAAAATTTAAATGTGCAAAATCTGTTTGTACCCGGATGAAGAGCAACGTTCCATTTGAAAATATTACTACAACACGGGTTAGATGTAATAAATTAAGTCGAACTATAATCTCTAAGCGTTTAATCTGTATTGATTCTAAATCGTCGATTGCACGTGTTAACGTTAAATGTGTTTGTTCCATTACGATGATTTTCAAAACGATTGATAACCTACGAATTTTCTAGTACAATATTGATGCCTTTCACACACGTATCCATAATGCAACGAGTACGTAAAAGTACTCAAACGTTCAATCGTTTTTCTCGTCGATTTCGGTGGAACGGAAAAAGTACTCGATTATTATATTTTTTACCTCCTCCGCGTCTAATATGTTTGAATAATAAGTGCACTCGTCGTGAAGTTTAAGCACGCTCGTTCAACGCGGAATTTCTATAATGTTATTAATATTTTCCACTGTCCGGGCCATCCGGGATAATTTCACGCGAAAGGATATAATTATGTAAAACGTCCGCGAACTAACTACTTCTATTATCACTGGCGCGCGTGCTACAAAACAAACGTCAAACAAATTGCTCGCGTTACGTTAATATGATGGAATATGTAGTCTTAAGAGAGCGCGTGCATTTAATCTTTTTAACTATTGCAGGTCCGCGCCGTATCCAATTGAACGGTCGGTCGTAAATTGCGCTCCACAGTGTACACAGGTGCCGAAAAATAAATTGCACCCGCTATTTTTCAACTTCATTTTCGGGTACAGTAATTTGCGCCCGTAGTATCTATGTGCGAGGATTCGTAATGAGTAACTGATTCAAAACACTCCGCATACATATTTATGTTCTAAATAAATAATCGTCTGATCCCTCTATTATTTATAACCGTATGGATGAGACTAGGTAGCTGAAAACCGATATTTAAATGAAAACGAATAATGTGAACGTGACTTAAGGTTTCAGATGATTTACTATGGAATGAGCTGGATGTTAATTTATAATTTTTTCCCTTCATCAGGCGCAGTTAATATTCGCCCAAATAATTTGTCACTATTTAAGTAAACCGCGATGTTGCCGTCAGCTGCCCAACAGTAATTCGAGCTGTTTCATTCTTTGAGCCGGTATGTTCGAAAAATATTCACCGATCGTTGCTCATCGTGGACGTCTGTTAACGATTTTCAACCTAGATTTCGGAGGGTTACATTTGCATGTATCTCTGTTATTTTAACAATAATATTATGATAATATATCATTCCGTACATTAGTAATAAATTTGTATAAAATCAAATCAAGCCGTTTGCTTAACTTTTCTAAGTTGTTTTTCATCTCGGAAAATATCGATTGTGGGATAGTCATTAGTTTTCACCCCAGAATACCGACATTGAAAAACAACTATTGAACCAAGAACCGATACAAAATAGTACGAATTGAATAACTAAACAAATAATATAAATATACTCGTAGCCAAAGCGAATATGGTGCACATGTCAAATTCTACGGTATAATATTATATTTTTACTAAATTATATCAAAATATTCTCAGGATACTTCTTATTAGTAATGCATTATATCGGGTTATACATTAGGTATACAGTTAAATTATATAGTATATTAGAGTTATACATTATATCATATTACACTATATAGAATATCGCACATAATACAAACGACTATGATTTTAGTGTGTAATAATAATTATGCTTAAATGTTAATATGATAATAATATGGTGGTCGAATTTGATACGAAGTTAATAGATTTCCTTTCAGACTTTCACTATTAGAATAAAAAGAAATTACCAACTAGGCATACATTTCTTTAACCATGCGATAGATCTTTTTGATATTAAAAAACGACAGTAAAACATTAAGCATTAAAATCAAAGAATCGCTTTGCCATATAAATATTTGATTCACTTGGTTTAGTTCTGGTCTATTTAACACCTCATCGGTTTTATATTTACACGACCTCGATTTGTATACATTTCATACCATTCATACGCCGACTATTATATTTCGAAAAACCTTATAATATAATATTAGCATGATAAGTATACGATCAAATTGTACATCTGGGAATGATTATAATAATAATAATAATAATAACAATGATAATAATCATGATAGTAATAATAGTAATAGGATATCCATAAAACATTTCTATACAATGTTTTCTCTTTAATGAAAAAAACATGTCTTGTTCAAAATGCTCACGTATTTACATAGGTAAACGTACGAAATCCAAGACTGTGATTAACGAAATTTTAATAGCTACTGCGCATGTAGGATTTTTTGACCATTAGAGAGGTAAAAACGTAACTATCGATCATGTTGACGCATACGCTTCCGTCACTACTCCCCATTATCGTGTCCATTTCCGTTGCTTCGGTTCTAATTGCGGACTATCCTTAAGATCGTGAATACAACTGTGATTATATGTTGATATTGATTGTTGGTTGTTTTAGTTAAATTCTAAAATATGACGTTTTGTCATGTACCGAATTCCGCGCAGAAAATTAATATTGCAGGGGTCATTAAATCTGAAATGGTACTAACAAGGAAAAATTTTTTCTTAACGAAATAAAATGTTTCCATACAATTGCATTAGATATAGGTTTAATAATAATACGGTTTAAAATAATCGTTTTTTGTTAACCATACAAAATGTTCATCTGCGTTGTAAACAAACGTTGAAAGAATTTTCGAATGAAATCATATCAAACGTCAAATCTCAAGTGTTAATATGATGATAATAAATCCAATTAAATATTATTGCGTTGTTGTTTTAAGTATAACTTTTAGCAAAACTACGATGAAAGTTAAAAAAAAAAAAATTCTTATTTTGCTAGTGGCACGGAGTTATGAGAGAACTGATCAGATACAAAGATTTTCGGAAGATAACTTGTTAAATTAAATTATTGAAATCGAAAAGCCTAGTTATTTATTAGTTTATTTTTTTACAACTTAATCACTGAATCATCGTTAGTCATCAACTTGTTTTAATAGTACAACAATAGAAGGAAAAAAACATTCCGTTTCGTTTGTGTACGCCACTATCGATCAGCTGAATAGATCAAGTATTTTTATACTCTAGTATATATTGAAACAAGTTTCTCATAATCCTCACCGCAACGTATGGTGTTTAGCGTAACGTTAATTATTATTTAAAGTGTTGAACTTCAAACGCAGACATTTATACATTTTTACTATTGAAAATAAAAACGTCCCACGGACAATTATAGTTTCGAAGAAAATCAACCTTATTATTTACACCTCGTTATAATAACACAGATTTTAATAAAATATTTAGTTTTCTTTTCACAACGTTCATCGTCATTATATTATTTGTTGGTTTGATATTATTTTCATTCGCTTACTAGTATACTTGTGTGAGAATGAATGTGTATGTTTGTGTGTGTGTGTGTGTGTGTGTGTGTGTGTGTATGTGTATTTAAATGGAAAATATATAATATTGTGTGGACGAGTTAAACGTCGACGTGCGCTATTTAAAAAATCGTGCCGAAAATGTTTTCACTATTTTTATGCTTAATTTGATCTTTAGCAAAATATTAAACGGAAAAAATTTCCGAAAACACAATATAATAATAAGATGCACAACAATCTAATAATCATAATCGTCTGCTGTCGTATATCGAATTACCGCCTGCCACGTTCGCGTGTATTGAAATCAAACGGGTATCAACGCAGAGTTATTCTACAACGGAATACAAATCAGATACCGTTTAATATCGATCGGCATACGTGTATATGTACCTACTATAATAATAATAATAATAATAATAATAATAATAATAATAATATATGTGATAATTACCACTGACGTGTTATGGGTGTGACGAAAAGCGGTGTCCGCGAGATGAAAATCAGGCCGGAAATTTCGCGGCCCGATATTGTTATGTAGGCTATGCGTTGTGAATGTTATTTGTCACGGAATAAATTAATTAGCACGGATTCCAGTGCCATCTGGGTTCGGTGCGACGGACTTGTTTGGCGGCGAGATTTGATTCGGAATAATAACAATATTCGAACGGGACACCTTTTGATAATGATGTTTCTTATCAACAGAGTGGTTTTATTTTTATTAATTTTTTTTTGTAATTGTTTAAATTTTTGGTTCACCCACAAATATAAAAATTTGATTAATAAAAATTAATAAAGGAAATATATGGTAATGGCAGTGACGCAATTAGGGGTATGGTATGGGGGTTGTGACCCCCTCCCGAAATTTTTTTGAGGTTTTCACTAATTCTACCTAGGAAAAAAATGATTTATCTTGAACACGTGAAACGGCTGATTAATATGAAATTATTCGTATTATAATTAATAACAATAATAACATGACAATATGGAACGTTTTGTAACGTTCCGTTCAACTTTAAAACATCAATTACCTTGATACTACGATTTCTCGATAGTCGATTGTATAATACTTTTTTTTGTGATATCACAATATGAAATAGAATTTAAACAGTTTAATTTGTAATTTAAATATTTTGCTCATAAACCTAACTTTACCTTACTTCCTTATATCCACCAAAAACCTGCTGAAAATGCTTATTTTTCCAAATTCACAATCCACTCCTCCCCGAAAACCAATACTGGTTGCGCCACTGGGTAATGGTATACAGCAAGAAATAATGAAATTATGCACCGAGATCGAATAGACACGTAGGTACCTTTATTTGTACGTAATTTAATGGATATTCCATACCAAAGAACAGTACATATCAACAGGACTGGGCTGGACAGACAGGATACCGGGAATTTCCAGGTGGGCCTCTTGTATTCGTTTTTTTTTTTACGTTTATCGGCTTAGGCTCATTGTATCGACGGACAGACGCATTTTCTAATGTGATTACATAAGAAACTATCTTAGATTAAATAAACGGTCTTTTAATTTTTAATAATAATATTAAGTTTTCAAATTCTCAAAATAATATACGAGTACAACCGTTTATAAGAAAATATACGGTTTTCTTAGGGTGTTTTTTATACCTTTGGTATGATAAGGGGGCCGTTTTTTTTTTTTATTTTCCCGGTAGAAATTTCTAACCCAGTCCGGCCCTGTATATCGTACATAAATCGATAAAAAATATATTGAAACACATGTTATGCAAAATCAAAGTTATTATTACTTATCAATATTTGAAAACGGAAGAAATGAAGCAAGTGTTGCATGCGTATAAAGCGTATTTTTGTTTAGCGACACCTTTTTCTCTTTCGCCCCCCACCCTGGCCGATCGTGACGACCCAGAGAAACTTCAGTGAAGTCTATCACAAATCCATAAAATCTGGCCAACCCTCCCGTCATGACGTAAGTGTGCGACGTCGTTCGGATCACTCATCTCCGGCACCGGTTGTTCGGTCGAAAGTTTAGCGCAAGGGTGGGCAAGTAATTTATATTGGAATCCTAAAGATTAAAATAATAAATCAACGAGGTCCAGTGAAAACAATCATTTTGAAATATTTTAAATATATCAGTATAAAAATAAAAATAATTATTCGGTTATTACAATTGATTTATATTAAAAATTACAATGTTAGGAGTATGAAAATAAAAGTTGACAGGGTCCAGAGTATCGCCTTTCGGCAGTTGCCGAGCCCTGGTTTAGCGCGTCGCCATCGTGCACCAACGTCTAAAGGTGTCGCCGTCGTTGTCACATTCGCGTGACCGAATCGGGTGGACGGCGCGGGACGCGCTTAGGTGGGTTCCCGTGTCCGGTAAAAATTCCGTCCGGGTGCGCGTTTGACGGGCACCGTCTTGGAAAGAGTGACGTGAATGACAAAAAATGCGGAAAATTACGTCGCGTCTTTGTGACAATGGCGTGTATAGAAAAATAACGTGTAAACATTACCGCCGTTGTCGTCTCGCGGTTTTAAGCCGTTTTTTAATTTGTTTTTTTTTTTTTTGCTCGGCGTCACTACGTGTATTCGATTCGGACGGCTGACGAAGACATATTTCTTGTTTTCAGGTAAATGCTTCAGGTCGACGGACGTCCGTTCGGCGAGGACGTGTGGACGATGCCGGTGGACATCGGCCACGGGCGCTCGTCACCGTGAACACAAACAAACAAAAATGGAACAATAATATAAAAATAAAAATACAAAACAACAACAGAAGGAGGAAAAAGAAGAAAACGAAAATCGGGAAACAAGGCGCGACTAAGACGAATCGTGTACCGTCATCGTGGTCGCATCGACGGACTCCATTGCTCAAGTTCAAACAGTTGTAGATTTATTAAGAAACGAATTATCAGACTCGTTTTTTTTTTTTTCGACGATCGTTTTATTCCGTCCCCCTACCACACCACTTAGTCTTTATTTATTAATTTTTTTTATTTATTCATTTATTTATCCGTACGAACGTTCTGCGAATTGTTACAGTCGCATAACCAGCAGTCTAGATTAAAACATATAGTGTATAATAATGTTCTATAAAGTTATCGTTACACTTACTAATTTATGTAAATATTTATCGTAATTATAAAATATTTAACTAACCGTATGCATCGTCGCACAGTGTCGTACTACCGATGTACTGTACCGGAACTATGCGAAATAATTATTTATAACTGGTATTTATAACACTGTTGTACGTGCTTAAATTATTATTATTATTATTATTATTATTATTATTATTATTATGATTATTATGATTATTATTATTATTATTATTATTATTATACATTTTTTTTCTATTTATTTATATATAATTGTAAACGGTATTCACTTATTATTTTTCAACGAATCGCGGGTGGAACGAACAAAATTATGACACATTTCGAATTAACTTCACCGCGGTCGTTAACGGCTCGACGTCAACTGCATCAAACAGCAACGCGCACTGTAATATATTAACCATATCTCATAACGTCATATGCAATTGCCATGATGGTGACTTTAAAATATGCTATAGAAATACATACGTGCATGGAAAATAGTAACTTCACCCACACAATCGTTATCGCTTTTTGTACGACGCTTGTGGATATGTTACTGTGTTGACCGTCCGACTTTTGCGTTCATACAACCCCAAACCTACCGCATTTCGTCAACCGACGTCAGTTAATACGAACATTGTCATAATTTTATCGATTATAATTTATATTCTTATTTAAGTTTATATACATACAATAAATAGGTACGCGCGCATGGTGTACCACGTACAAAGTTTTCGTAAAAAATATTTATTTTCGCACACACACACACACACATACACAAATATCTCGAAAAACCTTGTCTTACAACAACAAATATTCATTGCAAACGTATAATATTATGATTTCGTAGTTCTATAAATATAATAATTACACTGGTTTGAAAAAATACAGTAATTCGTTCACAAGATCCGATTTCCACGGTCCTAACGAACATATGTAAAACATTAACATACCTTTGCAAAACGGAATATATTCGTTATCCATACGTTTATAAGTTTCTGAATTTTTTTTTCTTAAAAACGAAACGCATTAGTGCAAACAGTATACACAGTGCCGGATTAAGACCGATCGTAGTCCTAGGCAAACATTTTTTACAGTCCATTGTAAAAAAAAACAAATTATAAAAATGTTTAGATCTATTTAACTCACAAATTTTTTCTTGCTTTTTTAAAGCTAAAGTCGTTTATTAAATCATTGCAATCAGAAATATTTATTAATTAGTTTTCAATATTCAATAGAGCTAAAGCATTTAACCTTTCCTCGGGCATAGAAGATCGTAAGTAATTTTTTACCCGTTTTATAAACGCCCGTTCCCCGGTAAAATTTGTCACGGCTATACTAAGAAACGTTCCCAAGACTATATTAAGATTTGGAAAAACATCATCAAGATCTTTACTTCTAATGTAAGACAAAATTTTAAATTTCAACACCCGATTAAATTGCCACAGTGCCACTATTAAAAAAAAAAAGATAATAGCCTCCTCCGACGGCCAGTTTTATCTAGTCCTAGGCACGTGCCTTTCCTTCTTATTCGATTAATCCGGCACTGAGTGTACATGCTAATAATTTAATACAATACAGGAACAAATTGATAATTGTTATATTTATTATTTTTGAAATATTATCAAAGGTTAGGACATATAAAATATTAGTAAAACATTCATCAGAAGAGAATAAATAATTTAAACTATATCGAATTCTGTTAAATATATTACATTATTATCTCAGTATATTGTATGCATAAATAAGCTGCTATTTATCTGCATAGTAATATTCAAATAAGTATACTATTTAGCAGCAATGCGTTTGTGTTTTAGCACAATTATCATACAATTTAATGATGTATTGTCCGATACGAAAACTTAATTGAAGGGTCCGTTGCAATATCGGTCCACTCCAGTATCTCCATTTTTTTTTTTTCGAAATTCAAATTTCTTTTGTATCTGTTTACACTTATTTGGCAATAAAAATTCGATTTCAGTACCTTCTAGGATAGAAAAAATATTCTAGTTTCTACTTTATACAGGTTTAGCATTAAAATATCTTATACTTTTGAAAATATTTTTGAAAAACAAAAATAAAACAAAATTAAGGAAAAAATTTAAGTTTCGGTACAATAACCTGGTATTTCCTTATTTTTAGTAAATATAATATTTTACATCAAGACAATTTTGTTTTTCTTTATGCTGTATTATTGTATAACATAGTTCATTATGTAGTTTTAAAGTTGCACTGTTTTGTTTTATTTGTGATTATGTTTTCATCATGGTTGTTAAGTTAAAATATGGAAAAAATAATTTAATTTCGGAGCAATAACCAGATATCTCCATGTTTTCTTATTTGTACTCATTAAATAATGTACTTTTTATAACATAATATGTAAATATATATACATGTATAGTCAAATCTTCATTTGAAGAGTTAAAATATGTTTTTACAAAAAGTATACCTCTATTAGAAATTGAATAATATGGTTATTTGTTTTTCCTGAACAATTTTAAAAAGTGGAGATACATGGTTCTTGTACCGGACCCTTCAATTAGAAACTTCTAACTTCCACAATCGTTGTTCTCATCATAATTTATCACATAATAATATAAAATTATGTGTTTTAATTATATTCTGGTCATTTTTCAATATAAAGTTTCTCAGATCAATTTATATTTTATTTTCCATACGATACACTGATTTCAAAAACTTTTGAACGATAACATTTAAAAGTTTTACGCAGTCAAATAATACGTTCATCGAGGAGCAATAATTATTGTAAGATGAGGACTGTTCAAAAAGTTATAATAAAAACGTTATACAGAAAAAATATTTATTTAATCATCCATATTTACATGTTTTTTTTTTCAAAATAACCTCTCTGGGTAATATTGTAAATTTGCGTTTAAGTTCGATATTATGAACAAGTAATTTTTAGTACATAAATTATGATTTAATGATGAATATTCTTTAATAATTCAGGGATGCATAATATTCACATGCGTAAATATAAAAGTAATCAAATATTGCATAAAAGATAACATAATTTTAAAGTAAACATAAAAGATAAAAATAATGTTTATCAATTTTTCTCAATTTAAATGTAAATCTAATATTTAAATAATAAAGGTAAATACATTTGTAAAATATTGATACAATCATACATTATTTACTGTAATTTTTTTTAATGTTTTTTTAATTTTTATTGATAATTTCAATATTTTACTTGAAGTTGAATGAAAAACAGTTCATAAGGTGATTTGCAATTATTGAAAGTAGTTATTATTGCTATTATATTTTTAACAGTGGCCATTTTTGTTATTTAGGTAAAATATAATTGGCGTGAAATCAGCGAAGTCAAGACAATGGGTACATTAATTCAAACTAATAGATCTCGAATTTACCTAGATTCTAACTTTAACGTTTATAAGTAGGTAACATTGCATTAAATTCATGTGAGATTTACCGAATTATCGATTGAGAATTAAATAAAACTTAGGTACATATTATTGTTAAATAGATTCCTTGATTATAAAATCTTCACATTGTTACGGCGGTAATAGTATGACAAGAAAGATTATCGTTGGTTTTTATAAAATGTAATATTTAGATATGTATGTTAAATAATAAAATATTAATAATGTTAACCAGATTACTTCATCAACTTCAACTATCGATGATTGCATAAAAATGAATAGCGGTGACAATTATTGGTATTAGATTTTATTTGCATATTTCAGCTTTATTTATACATTTATATTAATTATAACGTAGGTACTTATGACAAATAATATAATATAGTCATTTTTTAATAATTATAAAGTGAAAATTTAATAATCTATAATGATAAATTATAAACTTAAATTTAAATTTAAATTTAAGTTAAGGTCTAATTTTAGTCTAAGTTAACTGAAATAATCACCACCTTCGACTACCTCAAACTGTAACCGATCAAATGATAATGTTAAATAAAATGAACAATAGTTCGCTAAAGAATAAAATTCTTTAGCTTATTGTGAAATACATAAATACAGAAAATCATCCAGCCTTGTATGCATTAATTATAATTTTATATTAAAATTATTTTTTTTAGCAACAAATAATTACTGACAACATGGGCATTCCTAAAAGTTGGAGGCCACGTCGGTCGCACTCTTCATTATCATCACTTCAACAGGCACTATTAATTCAAATATAAATATAATTTATTAATTATATATATTATCATATAGAAAACTCATTCACTCGACTGTGGACTTTTGCCCATTTATATTTTGTAAATAATCATGTAAATGTTATTATCTACAAAAGTGATGATTATTATTATTTACGTATACACTAAATGTTAAAATTATTCAACAAAACAAGTATAATTTGCTCAAATGTATGAAAACAATTATATATGAATAAACTCGATGAAGTGTACATGTTTCTAGACATTAATTGTACAACATATTGTTTTTCAACAGCGGTGTTGCAAGGGCTTGTATTCATTTTTGAGCATATATTTAAATAAATTTGAGTTCACACATCTAAAAATCCAATGTATTTTGTTTAGTGGTTACTCGATAGTTTAAAACGGTTGTATACAGTACATCTTTACTTTATAAATAATTTTATTGGTCTTATTCAATAATAGTTTGAATTATTTTTACTGGTGTGTAGAAGGGTGAATATAATATAAACAATTTATCGAACCTTATTATTTTAGAAAACTGTATTGGCTCTGCTACATAATACACATAAAAATTATAAATATTGAAATATTAGTGTATGTAGTATAATTTAATATTATTTTTTAACAGATTTAGAATAATTGTATTATTATTTTTTAACAGATTTAGAATAATTGTATAGTTGATATCTTCAATAAGTTACGAGTAATAATATAAATGAAAAAAATAAATATATTGAAAAGCTAAAATTTTACAAATTAAATGTTGAATATCAATGTATAATAAAGTACCTGAACAATATTTATAATTTAGGTAAGTTATTAATTTTTATTCTAAAACCTTAATTCAATGATAATTAAAGGAAATTTATTCATTTGTGGAATTTTTATGTTGAGAAAATAATCTTGATAATCAAACTTAAAAATCTTAATAATTCTTAAAAATAAAACTGTTTCCATAGCAACGACAAAGGCGTAGTAGTTTTACCAAAAAATAAACACGGCCAATAACTATTTAAATCAAAATAATTTCTCTCTGCACCACAAATTAAATAATATTTTTTTTTTTTTTTATTTCTAATTATGCATACACATTTTAACTATATAAATATAGAATATTTTTTTCAAAACGTTTGTGTTTTGATAAGATTTTTCGTCGTAAATGTACATAGTACAAGATAGAGTACAATAAATGTTAATAAAACTTATGTAACATAAGGCTCCATTTGATTACATTACTATATAGGGTATAATATATAATGTTATTTACAAAATATAATTTTTAATTATTGCATTTGGTATAAATAGTTCAAAAGAAATGTTTGAATTATGTGTTTAATGGAAACTATGTAATTTGAATGGAATATTAATTTGAATTAAAACAGTTGAAGAATTTTTCGAGTAAATACCATTATTATAATATTTAGAGCTCTGTTTCCTTATGTAATTCATATACCTACTCAAAAGATGAGTGACAGTAACATATACTCTATAATTCTTATTTGAATTCCTAAGGTGTTCAATTTAATGTGATTTAGCCAGAACAACTGAATTTTAAATGTAAGAAAGATTTTTGAACATTTTCAAAGATGTTATTTTGATCAATTAAGAATTGTTATGTGCGTTTTGTCCTACGAAATGTATTCTTTAATCATCATAGTTCATACAAAGAACTGTATAAAAATAAAAATTGATAAAAATTATAAATTATTTTATTTCTAGCGTTTTTTTATTTATAATATATAGAAGATATTTTTTAAATATTTATTCTAAAAATGTATTTATGCTTTTTTTTTAATAGCCCAGAATTAAAGGTACCAAATATGTTCAATAAATTATGTAAATACTTAGCTTTATCGACTACTTTATACATATACATTTATTATGATTAGCAGCCTAATTGTATTTTTTATTGCTAAAATTTGGTGAGCCGGAAAGAAAAAAACAAACGATAAACCGTTATAATTTTATTAATATTAAAAAACACATATAAAGATAATATTAAAATATTATTTTGATTATTTTCAACTGGTTAGTGGTTAGGCAGTCAATATATGATTTTAAAATAACATTTACTAGAGTATAGGAGTAACATTTAATTGATCATTTATTTAGATTCATCTTTCCAATTATTGAAAATTTATATTATTTTTTTTATTATACTTTGGTGAGCCAAAAAGGAAAACCGACTGGATATCATTAATATTTCAAACAGTGGATTAAATTAGAAAATTATCAAGTATGTTGAACATTTTTATAATTTTATTTTTAATATTCTACAGTTTTACATTAAATGATGTGTACACATTTTGTTTAAAGCACTTATGCTTTAGTGTTACAGTATTTCAATTTCTTCAAATTATTAACACATTAACTTTACATTAAATTTATTTTAAAATATTGTATACATTTTATTTTGAATAATAATATTTTAATACTTCGTAAATTGTTCGAAATTATGTTTTTTTACAATCATATTTATGTATTTTACTTTTATCAAGTGAAGACCGCCATATACTTCAGCAAATATCAATTGATGTCAAAAGGAAAATATCGGAATTCATATGATACTAACATTGACAGTTATATTATGAAGTTTTTTAGGTCAATATACTATATGTGATTAATAATAGACTTTTAGCGCACGTAGCACAACATTGATACGGCTAACTAATTCCCAATGTTCAGTTGAGTAAAATAAAAGTATTGCAATGCGGTGCCTCGTAGTCCGGGAACTGTGTTTAAGTAAGTCAATGCTGGGCACCGAATGGTTACGGAAACGTATTTCAGGATGAAACCTAAACTCCATGAGCACGTTGCGATTTCGCCTGATCTGAACCCGTAAACCACAAGATCTATTGTTGCGAAGCAGTGATCTTATTATAATTTTTGATTGTCCACCCGAACAACAGTGCGTAGTTTGTCAAAACCGCGGAAGCATCGGACTACGTGATCTCGGACATCGAATGAATAATCTTTTTAATCCCCCCCCCCCCCCCGCACCCAAAGACTGAATCGGTATTGAAGCCAACCGTCTCACCAGCACTTGCCGTGGACCGTGAACTCCATATACCGTCAACTTGCACATTATATAAGCGGTGGAAATCGTGTTTAATTGTTCATACGCTCGTTGCCAACCCGTGCTTATTGCTACTTCTATCGCGTTCAGATTGCAACATTTTTTCCACGCATCAGCTGAAGGATTTACAGAATATCATCATGATCGCCATAAATCGTGTACGCATCTTGCTTTTATGGTCTATGGTACCGCGTTTACTGCCGAGCATGCTGTGCGAAGACCACGGTAAAAGTTTCACAGCCGCATTGGACGAGGGTGAAGAATGCGCGCGCTCACCAGACCTGTGGCCGTGTCTAAAGAAGGGTACCACCGGAGTGCTCAGTGCACTGGTCAGTTATCAAGACGAAATACCGTTGATGGGCAAGTACCTGTCTTTAGTACCAGACCAGTGCCATGTGCAGGAAAGAGGACGTCAGGACGACACGTCGTCACCGCAATCGTCACCTTCGTCGCATTCGGTGTACTCCAAGTTTTTGGAGTTTGCGAACGGTCGACTATTGCGGGTATCGCTGCCTGTAAGCTTCTTCACGTGGCTAGTGGGTGTGACGTCCAGAACACCTGAGCAGGAGGGACGAGGCAAGAAGGACAAAGGTGCCGGCATGCTGATACTCGGTGGCATGATGTTGATCACCACGCTCATGTCCACCGCGTTCGGTGCACTGGCCCTGATGGCCGCCAAGGGTCTCTTCACCAGTGTATTTGCGCTAATGATGTCGGCCATGGCCATATCCAAGAAGTCGGGAAGCTATGGCCACGCCAGGACCAGATACGAGGTTATAAATGCTCCTCAAGGATACCAACAGGAAATTTCGGGGTACAATATGGATACTGATGCAGTCGTTTCGGAGGTAAGAGTTCACTTGACCACTTGATCATACTAAATTACAATTTAAGCCTACTAATTAATAATAAATCAAAAATTTCGTATCCACACACAGCCGCCTAGTATTTTAATATATTATTGCAATACATTCTTAAAATATTCAAACTTGATTTTTTTGTGAAAACAATTTTTTTCATCTTTAAATTTTAATTATATGCTATATTATATTTATAATAAAAAAACAAGAGCAAGCGAGAAAATAAAAAAAAATAAAGTACATACGATTTATTTGATTTTGATAGCAAAAAAGTTTACTGATTTATTAAATTAACAATTGAATTTAAATCTTTCAATTATTTTAAATTAAAATTTAAAATATATTAAAAGTATATTAATTATTATTAAAAAATTAATCTTGATTTGTACTAGCATTATTTTACATGTTAATAACATAGAACCAAAATAGTTATAATTATGATTTACATAACTATGTATAATAATTTATTATTAATAATAAAATATAACTATTAATTTAATTAAACACAAAAGTGTATTAAATTATTTATTTATTTTTAATTAATGAACGTACAGAAAAATAATCACTTCACATTTTTGTTATTACAAATATATTTCAAGTGTAGGTGCAATTGTTTGAGATTAAACAATAATATAAACAGCAAAAAAAAAAAAAAAAATTCAAATTTTTAAATTTGTTTTATTAATAATAACGTGAACACCAGTAGTAACTAGAAAATATCTATTAAAAAATCTAATTGAAAAATAATTAAAAATTCCTAGTGTATATATGTTTAACCGTAATTATCGAGTAACTTTAACCGATGTCCGCTTTGGGTTGAGTTTATATATAGCACTATTGAAAGTGATTCCAAGGAAACATTCATTTTCTTCGATTGTGGTCTAGTTCCTTCGTTGGCATATCTTTTCTAAATTTGGATTTCCAATCAAAAAAAAATGTATACGATGTTTTAATACACTATCACTTTCTAATACTGTAAGTAATTTGTTGGGATCGTAGCGCTGAAAAGTAATATAGATTGATTAAAATACTCTGGATTGCAATAATAACTACACTTTTATGAATAATTGATATTGTCATTATATTTTTTACAGGTTAGTAATAATCCGGCTCATTATCATGCCACCCAAACGGAACCCATTGAATACGGCTCGTAGATTAAAATATTTATTATGCGGTCCACCGCTTAGTCTCGTTATAAGAATCTATTTGTTTAAATTATTTAGAATAATTGTTTATATACGTAATAACAATGTGCATAGGTAAATTACGGTTTTCGGGTTCGTAAATAAGTATTTGTAATAAAATGTTTTTAACAAAAAATACCTGTGTTTGTTTGTGCCGTTTTCAATCCATCACAATAGTTATGTCTTTGTGAGAGGACTTTTTAGAGGACGAACCGGAATGCTTCCAGTTGACCGACACCAAAAATTTGGCGATGAACGTGAACAAAAACGCTTTGCCCAAGGTGACGGTGATCATGTTCAGGAACATGAACAGTACGACGAAAGCCGTCATCATGCCTCCGCCGAGCATCATGTTCAGCGAGGTGTTTTTGATCTTCTTCTTCTTGCCCCTACCTGCGGGTCAGAGCGCGTAGGACGCGAATCAATCGAGTGCTGTACCCGACCAATTTTACCCTTGGCAATATTTACCTTCCTCGAGCGCGCCGGCCGTCGGACTGCGATCGCCGACGTTGACGACGACGTAGTCTTCCGGCAGCACCGTGGTCACCTCCGCACCGACCGCGTTGTCCACGGCGGTCTGCACGCACCCCGGCCGTGCTCCATCACCGCACACCCCGGTGGCCATCGATATCGCGAGTACCGCGCAAACGTACGAACGTCTCATCGTTGGACGCGTCCGACACGACCGACCGCGAATGCGTTACGGCGACGACGAATACCAGTGTTTTCGCAGGCGCTCGCGTGCACGCGACGTATCGTCCGTAAACATTGCTGCCCGTCACCGACTTTGCCGATGAAGGCGTGCAGGACGGGGACGCGTTCACCGCCCGACGCGACGGCGAAATCGATCAAGCATCCGTGTCCTCGACCGTCGCACCGCTCGCGTACGCGGTGTGCAGCGTAATTGTTTTGCGGTCGGAGGTGTCATGCACGCTCGAACATGTAGGCGACCGAAAGTAGCCGGCGTCTCCTGTGTACGCATGAATCGTCGTGTATACATTCTGTTCGTTAACGGTTCCATGTGTTCGCGTAGACGTGGCGCGTCTGCAATTAAGAGGCGACGGCGAAAAAGGAAAGAAAAAAAAAAAAAAAAAAACAAAAGTAAAATAACAACCGCCGTCCTGTAGAAACGTCGACCCGAAAGTTATATATACCCAGCACGACGTCCACGACCGCGTCAGTACAGCGAGTGCCACGTTTCAGCACCCGCATCACCGTCCCACACGTAGTGTCACCGCCATGGCGTTCTCCGTAGTTGTCTGCAAGTGGGGTCTCCTCGCGGTTCTCTTGTCGTCCAGCAGCGTCACCGGGTTCGCGGATCTCGCGGCCGTCGATCCTTTGCCGTCGACCTCCCGAGCCCTATGCACCTCCACCGACAGCCCGGGCGTGTGCCTGTTCAAAGGTCTGCTGAAGAACGCTCTGTTCTATGTGAGTCGCAGGTACGCCGCTGCCGCGCACCCCTCCAACACCTCGGGAAAGGTCGGAACCGAATCCACCACCGGTCCCGACGACGTCGCGCTTCCCGAGTCCAAGGGTATCGAGGCCTATTTGTTCGAACAGTTCCAAAACTTAATCGGAATGTTCTCGTTTGATTTCGAATTGCCTACCGATGTCACCGCGCCCTGGACGCTGCTCAAGTCGTCGTTCTTAAATGGTAAGTGCTACAAGATTCCGCTCAGATCTTCAGGTGGACACTACCTTTCGTTCAGTGTTTTTATAAAACGTCTGGGTAAGGTCTCGATAAATGGTCTGTATCGGTCGTAGAGAAATCCAAGATAATGGAATTGTTCTCTAAGTACTTAGATGTCGTGTAATGATTCGGAATTCGATCGAAAGCGATGCCTACTACACTTAAATATACGCAAAGATTGTTTTTGTTATTTCATCGCTCAACGTTTGAATATCGTTTGAATATCGTCCAGATTGAGTGACTCGTATCGATTTCGATTATTTTTATTTTTACTATTTTTTTTTTTTTTTAATTTTGTCTCTCCTACTTGCAGGAAGGGGTAAGAAGAACAAAAACCTTGGACCTATGCTAGCCGCCGGGGTAGCCATGATGGCCGGCACCCTGCTGCCACTGGCGTTCGGCGCGCTTTTCATGTTGGCCGGAAAAGCAATCATGACCAGCTTGATAGCAATCACCATTTCCGGCCTACTTGGCCTGAAGATGTTGTTCACCAAGCATGAGGATTCGGGCCACATGAAAGCGTATTCAGCGTCACCGGCTTACTACTCGGCGCCACCGACTCACTACTCGGAGTCCCTGTACGAACAGGATTTGAGCACATACAAGGGGCAGACCGAAGCCAAGATGCACAATTACTACTCGGGTGAGGCAACGGGGACGTATTACAAGGGCGAGCAACCGATGAGCAATGGGTCCAACCCGCCGGAGTACTACGCGTCCGGCACCGGCGTCAGTCCAAAGTTCAACGCCGTCAACCACAACAACGACAACATGCACGTGGTTAACAATAAAATAGTGGCGGAGAAAAACGAGTAGTGGAGTCAGGGGCAGGGGTTTCGAAGGTTCCGAAGCTTCACGTGCTATTAGGGGTGATTGGGGTTGGCAGAACGGGGTACGGTTTTTTTATGTGCGGACACTTGTTTAGTGGCCGTCTCAACTTATCAAGTGTATAGTTACGATTGTACATTGTGCGTTACACTGTTTTAAAGTTTTGCTAGAACGGCGTAGGACCAGTATTTATTAAAAAATCGTATATTTATTGCCGTATAACTGTTTAATAATCCGTGTGTTTTAATAATTTATTTGTACAATTATAATGTTTATTTATTTGTAAAATTAGCGTAACTCATTAAGCTATTGTAATAACCCATGTGGTTTAATAATTTATCTGTACAATAAAGCGTATACATTAAATAGTGATATATTTTATTCCGGCTTGAAGATTTATCATGACTCAGAAAAATAGATTTGCGTCACCCTGAACCCGATCCTAGGTCAAACGAATATTTCGTTATCGATCTACGACGGCCGCGTCCGTTTCGTCGAAATTAATGTTTTCCAGATACTCCTACTGATCGATGATACCCCGGATGTCAAACGCGCCGAATCGGCGATGGTATAGTGGTTTTCTTCTGAAACATGGAAAACATTTGGAAACAGAAAGTACATACACTTGCAATAAAAGACATTGTTTCTGAGTGTATCGATTGCAGTTCATCGGTGTATATCGAACTATTGCAGTGTAAAAAAAAAAAAGCTAAATTTAGAGAAAATTAATTTTTATAAAATTAAACGATTTCTTTACGTACCTATTCTTTGTATTTTAGTTCATGAGTATTTTCCATAGCCATAAAATACTTATTTACTTAATAATGACTATTGGTGATGTGATGTATGTCATCAGTCCGTCGTATGTGTAACTATACAAACCAAATACGACTTATACTCGTTTATATATATATATATATATATATAGGTTTTATAGGACTTGTATATTGAAGATTAATTTTTAAAACTTGTATGTTCTGCACAAGCTAAGGCAACTACTCCGTTCTAAAATCTCACTTGAAAACAAAATATTAATTTATAAACAATTGATACGCCCTGCAATGACGTATGGCATTCAATGATGGGGCTCTACAAAAATGTCTAACCTAAAAATATTCCAAGTGTTCCAATCAATAAACCTTCGTCTCCTCACTAATGCCCCATGGTATGTAACAGATCCCTGCATCATGATCTTAACGTTCCAACGATATCCGCACTAACTTTGTATAACTATGATAACATTCACAAAAACGTCCTAATTCATCCTAATCCTCTAGTCGCCAAGCTAGTATCTAAAACACTACCTGACAACCCTCCTCGTCGTCTCAAACGAAAATGGCCACGTGATTTTATAATTAATTAATTGAAATTTATATATTAAAGATACATTTATTATATACAGTAAAATGTAATTTAAATAAAGTTCATATTGGAAGTAGTGTCAATGGACTCTCCCTTCCCTCAAGCCGTCCAGACTGGTAAAAATGTCATCTAAATTACTTATTATATTTATGTTATACAGATTGTTAATTTTTTTCTATTTTAATAAAAAAAAAAAAGTTGTATGTTTTTGTATATAATAATATAACACATTAAGATCAAGCTTATGGCACAAATTTTGTTACCATCAATCTATCTATGTAAACAGACGTATTTTAAATGTACTGACAATTATTAGTTACAATTTCTATTCTTTATATCACGGCATCGTCTTATTCAATAATTTCGAAGCAAAACACAAAATTCCTATTAGTGGCGCTTCAACAAACATCACTTTTTTCCGTGGTCTTAATATTATACTCTGAAACACGAACTATACTAATCAGATGGTTAAACGCTTAGTACCTATAATAATAACAAATTTACATATTATTTAATTATTAAACGTAATTTTTATTATTTTGAACCAGTTTTAAAAATATAACACTATACGAAAATAAATTGAAAAAAAAAATAGTAAATATTTCATTATCAGATAAAACAAAATTACAAGAATAATATTACTGGTTTACGCGAACGCACGTAAATTACACGCGAATATAATAATTAGGAAACAATTATTTTAATAAAATTACTGCATAAGTGTTTGAACAATTTAAGGCGGTTACGCGCTGGAACATTTAGACACCATAATATAACTGTATTGCTCAAATGTGTACTGTATCATTCGTAAGTGGCCGGTTCGTGATGCCGTCTATTAACACGAATTTCGGTATTTTAACGATGATCAAACGTATATTACGATTGCATTACGATTCGTCGTTAGCATGTACAGTAAATTAGTTTATCGCAAATCCACCTAATCAGTTTCACGCACTTTGAACAAATGTTGTTTTGACTTGATACATTTTTATCGTTAAAATGTATATAATGGAGTGGAACAATGAAAGGGTTTTAGACCACGTTGAGTGTTACAAAAATTCATTAACGCTATAGCACGACCAGAAAATGATTACGTGATAAATTTGCGAAATCCTATGCATGAGAAGAGCTTGCCATAGAAATAATAACGAAATTAGATTAATGTAAGACCAGTATGATCAGTCTTAACGCATCATTTCGTCGTAAAAAGTAAAAATAAAAAATTGTCAGAGAATCGGCATAGGTAAATAATTATAAAATAATTTTAACTTTTAAGAACACCCATGTAATTATTATAATTTATATGATTATAATTTTTAAAAATTAAAAATCCAAGTTATTACCATAAATGTTTATTATTCATACTATAATTATAGTATTACGGCGAGGAGATTCATTACTGTACGTGTTGTCACGTACATCATCAATAATATCGCCAATAAATGGTCATTGACCACGAATTTACGTGATTTACACATTACACGGAGAGCGATAGTCGAATCTGATCAACGCATCACGGATAATTTCAGATTAAATTGCCGAAAATCCAGACAATGTTTCAGATCTCAAAATATTTATCTCAGGAAAAAAATAATAATAATAAAAACCAATAACACGCGCATTGCGTGCATCGTTACATGCAAGAGACTTTAACGCTCGACTCGCAAACCACGTTACTATCACCGACTAATGTACTCGTTACATATTCTATAGCTTTTGGTATCGACCACGATACTACAGGCTAGTGTCGACTACCGCAAAAAATTATTTCGAAGCACACGGCTATAGTTCGTCAGTTACCTCGGTTTGCGGAACACGGTAGGTGCCCTTGTCTACAAATATTTTAACTAATACGAAATCGCTGAGTATTGTTATATTATTATGTATCTAGTATGTATATCGTGTTGTTATGAATGCAGTTGAGAATAACTGCCGTAATATGATGGATAAATGTATCAGCATAATTCTTCGTGTCAGCATTATCAATTTTGCGAACTTTATAGTTAGTGTTTAGTATCCTGTTCTCCGTACGCGGTGCGGAACATTCGTCTCTGCGTAAGAACGGATGTTATAACTATAGTTTAATCAGTGTGATCGCTGACAGTCTTGTACGCTTAAACTTGGTAAATATTCAACGTTAATCGTGCGATATTGTTTTGAAAATAAATTTAATATTATTAATAGGCTTTGGACAGAAGCGGACTAGGAACAGAACGGCACAGGTAGATTTAATGATCTAGCAGCCCGTCTTATAATTACGAGTGTTAATATACCTGACTTGTAACAACATATCGTTTATAAAATAAACTTGGTCCTGTACAGTTCTTAAAAATTGAATCAACATTTTTTTTACTGACATACACATATTTACTTATGGTTCAACCAATCCGGTTTTGGACAACACAATATAAAACTCTACTACTCGTACCTTTAACTGACATCTAACACAATATTACTGGACAATCAAACATGATTTTTGTGGCTCGATGTTAAAATGTATCTAAAATTTAGACGTTTATGTAGACAAATACGATTCGTATTCGTAATTATTATTCTAACGCTTGTGGCTGTCACGTATTTGTGATTATTGTCACCAGCCCGGTGAGATAAATATCCCGTGGCCGGTCCGCCTCTGGTCTTGGAAGTTGGAATGACCGATGTAACGGGTTCGGGTCTTCCGCGTCGAACGTTACTTTCGGAATCGTCCGAACCCGAACGTTGAGAACCGCTGTGGCACGGACGGCAACGTCGCGTACCCGCTTGTCAAAGGTGGTGCGTGGAAATACGTTTTCGTACAAATAAACAGACACGAATTGAAACATTTACGATTTATAATACAACACAAAGCGTGTACGGGGACACGAGTTATAACAGTAGTAATCGTTCGATACGACAACAGTAGACCCGCGCGATACGAACCGTACATATGCTTACGCGTTGTTCAAAAGCGATTGGAAAAAAATAATAATAATAATGATAAATTAATAAATTATGAGCGGCCGATTTTTGCGAACGGGCCGTAGCCCGGTGGCGGTCACTGCGGGATCGGCAGTGTCGCGGACGGCGTGACGATGTCCGCGGCCGCGGTCGCGTCCACCGGCAGTCCGTAGGCCAGGCTGTGGGCCAGCGAACGTCCGTGCGGCCCGTGTCCGCTGTGCGTGGGCACGTTGATCACCTCGTACGTGGTGCCGCTGTGGCCGCCGCCGCCGCCGCCGCCGGACGCGAGTTTCTTCAGCGCCAGTATGGCGGACAGCATGAGCGCCAGCATGCTGGTCATCAGCGCCTTGCCGCTCATCATGGCCAACGCGCCCAGTTTGATGGGCAACAGCGTGCCGGCCACCATCATCGCGCCCATCAGCAGCGGTCCCGCGTACTTGTCTTTCTTTCCGCGCGCTGAAACCACCGTCAACATTGTTAGTATTAAAAATATTAATATTAAATAATATTTATTAATATTTTTATTTTTTTTTTTTTCATTATTTATTTATTGAAATAATATACGGGTTATAGGACCCAATTACGTGAATTCAGTTTGAACAGTATTCGAAAATATTTTTAAACAAATACGGAATTAAATTTAAATTTAATTACAACAAAAAAAAAAAAAAAATTAAATTATAATATATCATTATTATTTACATCGTCGTCTGTGGTACCGTGCACGTGCACCAGAGCGGCGTTTCCGTTAGACGTGTTAAATCTTTTCCGGTCGAAGTTTCGAAAACGATTGCACGAGCCGGTGTTACGTGCGTTCGGGTGGATCGACACGTTTTCCGGGCGGACATCTTCTCTCGGAAAGGCGAGAAGGAGAAAGAAAAAAAAACACTTATGGTATACTCCTACGTTATCTTGCTTGGAAGCAGTATAGAATCATAAGAGTACTGAATTGCGTTTGTGATGTACGAAGCTGAACGACGAAAATGTTATCGGGGGAAGTTTTAATTCGGCCGCGTACATAAGTATTTCCCATCCAGTTATTAAATGCACGAATAAGCTTGTTTCTATTAACAAGTTTATTTCAAAAGTATACGGGTCACGATACGAACAACGTTCCATACGAAATTATACACGACTTCAGAACCGAATCGTTCGAGAAGGCTAAATCTAAAAAGCTAGAACCGCTAAATTGATTATTTAAGTTGAGTTTAATTTTTGATGAAACAGCCGATTTCGTTTATCACGGTCCCGAGTATCGATCGGAGAACAAGTCTCGTGGATACGGATAACACGTGCGTTCCAGGGGGACGGTCGGAGCACAATAGACCTGAACCGATTTGCACTGTTGAACTATGAGTCCAGGAAGAGAATCCTGCGGGACACGGATCTCGTGACGTAAATCGGTCGGTGCTTTTGTTTGCTCGTTTTCGAAAACGCGGTCGTCGGTCCTTCACAACGTTAAAACGTAAACGGTTTACCTTCGATCAGCGTGTGCTTGAGCGAGTCCAACAGGTGCGCGGGTGCCCGGACGCTGATGGCGCGAGACTTGGCGAACGCGGTGACCGAGTCGACGAACGCGGCCTCGGCGCTGACGGCGGCCGCGCCACCGTCGTCTTTGCGGGCCGCCGCGGCGACGGCGTCCGCGGTGGCCGGCGCCGTGTCCGCGTCGGCCGCGGCGTTCCTGACGAGCGCCACGCACCCGGGCACCAGGTCCACGGGCTCGGCGGACCGGGCGAGCGCGTCCACGCCCGCGGCGGCCGCGCGCAGCAGACAGTCGACGGCGTCCGGCGCGGCCGAGCACTGGGACGCGGCCTTGACGGCGGCCAGCGGCACGGCGGCCGCGCATCCCGTTCGCCACGCCATCACGCACAGGCACCCGAGCTTGACCATTGCGAACTGCGACATCATCTCCGTGCTGGTGCGTACTGGTGCTCCTCGCGCTGTGTTCGCCGTCCGTGTACCGCGGTACGTGTCGTTATGAACACCGTGGGCACCGCGCGTCCGTATTTATGTCGTGTCGGTGACGTTTTTTTTTCCATCATAATTATTGGTATTCGTTTTTTCTTTCGTTAATCCTTTCCTTCTTGTTCGCGTTCGTTTTCTTTTGCCGTGTGTTTGTTTTTCTCTCTTTCTCTGTCTCTCGCGATATGTTCACAACCGTGGTTCGATGCGATCCGACGACAAGAGATAATCACCTCTTTCGCCGTAGCTCCGGATAATAATTATGCGTCGCGCGACCGCAAGGCGACCGGGAAAACCGATAGAGAGAACGGAACGGAATTAGACGAAAAAAAATAAAGAAAAAAAACCATACAGCGTACACCGACTGCGGCCCTCCGTGACGGCGTCGCAGAGTCGACCGGGGGACATTGCTAACATCTAACACGTATGTACGCGTATTCGTACTGCGCGCGCGAGCGTATGATTTCCCGTGACGGCTTATTAGCAGTGCTAGAGCTTGTAGGCGAAAGTATGTTTTTTTTGCGACTTCTGATCACTGATTTTGTCGGTGATTTCCACGAATCGCCTCGTGATGAGATCAATTGTGGTGTTTTTATTTTGCACGTTTTTGCATATTTCGGATGAAATGCATATTATTGCAAACATTGAATAAAATTAATATTGTTGCATGTTTCGATTACAAGGATGCGAAATATGAACGATCTACGGTATATTTCGTATTCGATTCTAGCCCTGCAGATCAAAGCATAAAACTTGGTTTTTACTGTCAAACGTAAATTTATTTTAATCCATTTTAATTTATTTGATTTCTCAATTGTATTATATCAAGACTAACAGCCAACCACTGATGTATTTTAATAAATACATGTTTTTTTTTTTTGTGACTATATTTTTGTGTTTATCTTATAAAAATATAAATGCATATTTTACAATTTTTATATTGCTTACAAATCCTAGCTCTGCTTATTAGCAATTTAACAGCAGATGATCACCGAATGAAATCAGATCATCTTTTTTACTTCTGTGCATTCACGATCACCGTATTGCGTACACGAAATCGTTGGTGTTAGAATATAGAACTAAGTCAACCCTTCGTCAAATTTATTCTTAAAACAACGAGAAGTCGAGTAAATATAAAATAAAAGATTAAAACAAAAAATGACACCCGCATATAATTATTGTTTAAAATTAACGATTTAATGCGAACGATTATAATGACGTTTAGTCACCGTGTTCCGATTTTTACAATTATTATATGTCCCATCTGTGTATACTCACATACCGATGACGGTACTACGATACTTCTTAGTTATTGCCCGTTTTAAATAGAGAAGAGGAGGTAATATGGTGCAACACATTTAGTGTTATCTGATTACTCGGTTTATACCGGGTTGAATGTGTACACTTATTATTGATACTAATTAGATATTTAAATCTCATGAGGCGGTGTGCAGAGTAATAACGAAATCTATACATATAGATTTTAATATATACATCATAACACTGCTTACTCTTCGAATACATTTCGTTTCAAACTATTTCATTAGATTTCAACAATGAGATTCAGCCAAAAAGAAACATTATAATTATTATTCCAAAAGTCCGCTAAAACTATTGTGATACGCACCTTTTATTTTTTGGTGAGACCAGTGTAATAATAAAATATTTAAAGCGCTGGTCGCAGGGTTTAACTAAGCTACCGGGGCACCGAGGCATGTCCCGGTGGGCCGTTGTAATTTCGGTTAAATAATACTAGGTACTTAGATTATTTGTTTTTAATTTAACGCGTCGATCTTCTATTCTTAAAATAAAATAAAAAATATCGCCCTGTAACATGACGTTAATAACGGATTCGGTGACACGGGATTAGATAACTAGGAGTTTGAAAATTGAACATATTTAATGTCGCGATAAGCCGATTGATAACAATGATTTCGTCACAATATTTATATTTAGAACAACTATAGGAAATTTGAATACAAAATATGTGTACAATATGAAGTATACGAAGTATCGTTCGTGTTTGTTCAAACAACGTTTAACCAAAAAAAAAATGTTTGTATGGGTAGATACGGTCATGCAAAATATGCGATAACGAAATTTTTCCATAATAATAATTTTTGTATGATTTATTAGACTTTTATTTAAAAACGTTACAATAGTTTTGGCGTTCAGTCAATAACAAGCCTATTCCTAGTTTCCAACCTTTCCGTCGACTTCAACTCAGTTATTACCGATAAGCAATTATTTAAAAAGAAAACAATATGTTCTAAGTCAGTAGTCGGCAACCTTTAGGGATCCTTGGGCCACATTCACAAATTAAAAATGGTTAACGGGCCAGATAATATGAAAAATTGATATGATATTCAATGACATTTGCTAGTTTTTAAACTTAATACGAGCTGTATAAAATAGACCACTGTTAGTTGTCGACCACTGTTTTACTTTAATTAAAACTAAATTAAATGTTTATAAACATATTTAAATCAAATCACTTTTTATGCTGTAAAATTCATCTTAGTAGGTAGGTCATTATATCAGTATTATAGATAAGATATATTATGCGTAAACTAGATTTATTTAATGTATAACATTAAATCTGAACATATTCAAACGTACCTATGTGTATATTGTTTTTTGAGTTACGAAGATAAATTTTCGGTTAAACAATAATTTGATTAGGTAGTTACTTATAAAGTTCCACAGATGCCGTTCGAAATTATTTTGCCCGAGGTTGAGCTATAGAGCTAGTCTAACCCTAGTTGGGCGAAGGAACGGTGTTATTTGAACAGTGCCTGACCATTTATTTTTTTCAATGTGTAAAATACCTTAATTTTAACATTAGTTAATATTTTGTTTCGATGACTCCTGATCAGTTATTGTTCACCTCGAAACTCCCAAAATCAGAATACGTACTATGTATAATGTAAATTCTTATAATTTCATTATGTTTATGTTATTACCAACATTGAAATATGTACCAATAGGCTCGATTTTCAATAAAATTTCATATTTTTTTGAATGGTTAAATTGACGATTTCATAATAGTTAAAAATAGTCCTTCGTCCATGATACAAATATACCTATACATGCATACATCAATGAGATATTCCGTCTTACATAAGCTGATGGCTTATATTCAGTAGAACATGAACCGTCGTTTGATTAAGGCTAATTTGTTTACAAGTATCCGGGCTATTATCGAGGGTTTGTCTGTAATTTTTAAGTATTTCAATTGCTTTTTATACGAACATCATTATTTGTGTATAATTATAGCTTATAACAATGTACTTTGGACAAAATAAAATGTTTTATTAATAATGCCAATAGTAACGCCAATACGTGTGTGCTTTAGAATCAATAATTATAACTATGGCCGGCCGTTCTCGGTGAAAACAAAAAGAGATATCATTTTTTTGGGAGAAAAAAAATGAAAAAGAAAATCAATCGTCTCCGACCGTATGTACATTAATAATATCGTATACATTCCAATGATGTGTAATTTTCACCGCACGTGTGACAGTGGTAAAGACGCGATATAAATGCGAAAACTTTCACAACACACGATCATCAAAAAGTGTTCTGAATCACCGCATATTATATTATAATGGTAAATCGATTTCACGTTTTAATAACTAAATTCTGATATAAAAACGTGTCCTATAGTTAAGTAGTGGTTGGTATTTACAACATACATTCATGACCTAACCTAATCTAAATCTGAATAACCGTATTACAGACTGTAATAAAATAAAAATTATCAGTAAATTATGTTTTCTTATATACGTGTGTATCACGATACTTAAAAAATTGCGTTCGATTTTCATCCACCGTGTTAGTAATAGTAATAACGATAGTTATTTTAAGTGAATTTTTTTTCTGCGTGCAGATTAAGAGGAAAATATCAGATATTGCTAAATAGACTTTTTATTTTCTAAACCAAACAAAAAATAATGGTAGGTATAACAGCTTTATATGGATTTATTTTTTTAATTTTTTTTTTTTTTATGAGAAACTTATCAAGTTTTTAAATTGTATCGGAAGTGTTCTTTTAAATTTGATATATAGATAATAATAAACAATACAAATAACGATAGAAATGAATAAAACGTTAGGTAAAAATTGTATAGTAACATTATAGGAATTCTATATCTAAAAGTAGACAAATGAAAATTACACAAAAAATAAATTGTTTTTTCTTCACAATTGTGGAGTTATATTATGTATCATTCATACCGTCATCGAAAAAATGAGAACATTCTGCAATATTATGTCTAATGGTCTGGATTTAAATACAGTTACACTATACCACAGTGGTGTATCTATAAAATGAATATTACTTTAAATAATAAATATTGTATCCATTTTGCATCTATAGTTTTGGTTTTGAATTATTCGAAAATGGACTTATATCATCGGTATCAATACTGAAATTTATTGCAACATAAAAACGGTCAACCGGTATTATAAAATGTAACAGGTTCTATTTAAAACAAACAATATGAAAATACTTTTGTTTTATTAGAATAACCCTCGTTAGTGGTGACCATTGACTGATATTGTTTACATTTTGCTTACATTGTTTTTTACATAATATTAGTATTAACTTATTTTTACATACTTTTATTTTCACATATTATACATTACTTATTTATAATACATTTTAAATTTTAATTTATTTTATGAAGCTAAGTGTCTGTTTGATGGCTGATATGTTTGAACCTAGTAATGCTTTATTTTAATCCGTTATTTTAAAGACCAGACCGGACTTAAAATTTTACCAGAGGACCGAAGTCGAACTGGATCACATTTAAACGTTAAGCAAAGACCAAAATTGAACCAAACCGACAGCTTCATATTATTTTTAAACAGTAATTAAATAACATTTAATGAAGTAGACCATGGACTGGACTATCGGTCCGATCTTAAAACATTTTGGACCGTTTATGGACCGGTCCGTAAGGTTCAGTCTGTATTAGCCGAGACCGTACTATATAATGCGTTTAGTATTATACTGGACTGGACTACCCAACTTTATAAATAAATATATACCTAGATCTGTAAGTTTTATTTTCGTTTTATTTGTTTATATAACAATATCTGTATTTAGATTTTAAGTTCCATAATTAGGACTGGACTAATTTTCATTTTTTTCATTTTTTTTTTTTTTTTTTTGAAATTGGACCGGACTGAAAATAATGAATTTGATCTGGGGACTGGACCGAACTATTCCTTAAAATTATTGAACCGGACCAAACCGACAGTTCAATAGTTTTTAAATGTTAGGAAAAGTAATAGACCGGACTGATTAAAACCGGACCATGCAGAGCACTAGAACCTAGTGATTGATAAAGACATTTTGAGAAGTTGTATTTGGTTCTTACAACTTCTGTGCATTTGTATTCGACGAGTACATGTTTGATACTCAAATGAACTCCGCATCAGGGACTGAGAACTAAATGATTTTAACGGTTCCCCTTTCGGGTCTTTAAATATTTTTTTAGGGATTTAGGTTAAATTTCGGGATTTCATAAAGTTCAAAATGTAGGTTCCGTTTAGAACCGGTTTAAACCGGTTTATAACCTTTATTTTGGTGTGTTTTTTTTAAAAAAAATAAAAAGTTAACTTATGTGTAGTGTACATGTTACACTAATTTAGACAGCTACTGTTATACCCCATTTACATTCAGCCATTGCCGCTGTTCCTCGCGCTGCTGTATTTTATTGTCAAAATACTTCAGC